TGAAGGTGGTACTCTTATTATCCTCATTTTGCTTATGACACCTTTGATTTATGCTTGACATTTGGAAGGCTGGGTGAGTAAGTCCATGGCCATGGCCATTGCCATGAGTTGCTTGAACACATATATTTGCAGTGGAGAGACTTTGCAAAACAGAGTTGTCCACTTGAACTACTCGTTGATACGAATGGAAGTTCAAACCAGTGTGCTATAGGAGACTCTTCCTCTTTGATCTCTTTTTCTCTTCTCCTCAAGGTCTTGATCTTTAACCTCTGTGTTTACTCCCTAGGATTCTGCTGCTGCTTCCTTTCAGCTCTATCCTTGGATCTCTGTCAACCATCTCCCTGCCCCCCAACCCCTGCCACACTTCTTTGGAATTGGGATGAAAGGATAGAGGAAAGTAGATTTTGAGGTCTTACACATTGAAGAAGTAGAGGGAAGAACAGTGACCCAGTTTCATGTAGGTTTATGGTCATCTCTAAGACAAACCTTTCTAGTTTTAAGGTACCCACTTTTTAATAAAACCAGGGGAAATGATAGTGATTGAGTGGTTTAACACATCATACTGTTGGGGGGCAGGAAGTTAGGGGTAATCCTACTTCTTGAGGAAGCAGATATATGGAGGTTCTGCTGTCTTGTAGCTTCACCATGTGGAAAATGTATCCTTTCTAGTCTCAAGGAAGGGGAGGGGTGTCAGGGAGGTGTGGATAGGAAGTGATGTATAACGCTCTGCTTACATTTCATGAATGGCTCCATTTTCCCACAAGAGGGCTGGAAAGAGAGATTGCTCCAGTGTTCAGGAAGGAAAGGCAAATTGGATTTGAGTGAGAACTAGTGGTTACTACCACAGCGACTTCTAGATTTTAGGTTATTTTCAGTGTTTTTGTCTTTGGAAGCATACTTCCATACATTATACATACTTCCAACTTTGAATCTGTCTCCCCATTTGAATGATTGCAAGTTGAATCAAATTCAAATATACTGTTAACCCAAGTCTACTATTAGGAAAAACAAACAAATGACACTTTAAATGTGAAATAAAACTGTATTGGGAGCTTTTGTGTATGTTCCAGTTTCATTTTCTTTTAAAGTTGTTCTTTCTGATAGCATGTTTATTCAATGCCTGAAGTGTTGTCAAGTAAGTAGTATTTAATCTGTGAAAATTTTCAAGTGGCCGCTTTTTCTCTCTCAAGTGTTTTTTTTTTTTTCTTTCAAGTGTTGCTGTAGTCATTTTAGGATGGAAATGAACCATTTGATTTTTAAAAATTATTTATGGCATATCAAGTAGCACTTAGTGTTTTGTCACAACATTGAAACTGTTTCTGAAGGCCCGTGTAAAATATGGCAGGAAGGTCAGGAAGCTTATGTACAGAACTTCTAGAAACATACCTCACCATTGGAACTGGTTGTAATTCCTGGGTGCTGACATGAAGATTAATAATGTTTAGCTCTGATTTTGGCAATTTTTGCCAATTTCATTGCATTGATCATTTTCTTTCAAGTTATTACCTGGAACCGAAGTGGTAACAAATGCTTCATGCTTTATACTGCCAGGTAAAAGGTTAAATTTTCATAGGTTACATGCTTTTAAACATACACACACATGCACCCACATTCAGACATGAATATACACACAACTGGTTCAGAAGGAAATGAGTAATTCTCCTAAAATGAAAAGATTGTCTTAGTTTTAACATTAGGTGACTAGCTCCCATGTGGTTAAATAATATATAAAAACTGGAAATTCACCTATGGGTCTTTGTGCACTGACAATATCATGCAGTTCTAATTTTCTTTTGTTTTTCTGGGAAATGATGGTGCTCTTTGTTTTGCCAAGTTTTATTATTGAGTCAACTGCCAAAGTTTAAGAGAGAGAGTCAAGGGCCCTTAAAATTATTTGGTGTTGAGTGAAGAGGTAGAGAAAGGTATTTCATATTCCCAAACATTTTAACTTTTATGTCTCTACCTGATGTTGGAATATAATCTAAACTTGAAGGCTTTTCTGATTCTTTTTAAAAATGAAGTATACTATCGAGTGAAGTTCAAATATTAGTGAAGGGAATTTTAATCCTACTCACTGATACTCAGTTTGGAACTACATATTCTAATTTTTAATAGACTTCTTTCTGGCCTGATTCCTGTGTTTAAACTTCTGTGCATCAGAAGGTCTGTGTGCCTGCTTGTAGTTTTGCACCATCTGGAAGTTAAAATTTGACTTTAGAAATGATGTCATGCTTGCTTACTGCAAACTGGTCTTATGTTGGTTGAGAATTGGATGTAGTTCAGGTCAACATTTTGTCTTTAAAAAAAAAACAAACCTTAAACTTCATTTCTTGATTCTAGGAGGCTATGCAAAGTTGTAGAGATAGAGTGAAGGCGATTGAAGGCCACAATTCAAATTCCTTTGAAGCTAAGTACATGGTGTCAGACGCATGGAAAATAAACTCACAAACAGAAGACCTTGGCTGGCACAGACTCCCTCCTGCCTTGTAGAGTTTGGGTGTTGCGAGTAATGTGTTGATCACGAGCAACTTTGCTCTCCATTTTGTTCCTGGAGAAATAGTCTTACTTAATAGTCCTTACAAAAGCTCGTGTTGCTGTTTTAATCTCTACGGACTTATTAAGATGGAGCAAGACATTGAAAGATCACACATAGCCAGAAGGCACTACAAATGTTAAGCTTACTATTGATCAATTAGACAGTCTCTTCTGAAACATTCTCTAGCATCACTCACTATCTCCCATGTTGTAATTTATTTATATCATGGATTTGGATTGGGCGTTTCCTTTGTCCAGATAAAGACCACCATCTTTGATAGGTAGAATGTGGGGCTAATGGGACCACAGTTTCTTCTCCAAATTGCACAGAATCCTAGTTAGCCTATGTGCAGATCCCTAAAATTGAATGTATAACCCTTTCTAACCACTGCTGTAACCTGCAGTGATCAACATGTTCTGCCAATTTCGAAGGAACCCACTAAATGCTACCCTTTTACGTATAAACTAAAAATCACGTTTTTTCACCGGATAAGAGGAAAACTCAAAGAGAAGTACTGATGTTATTCCGAGTTGGTAGATGAAGATAACTTTTTACATAGATCACTTGAGAATCTGGAATTTTTAAGCTTTAGTGCAACTGGCATGCATGAGTTTTTCATTTAGGAAAGGGAAGGTCACCAGGATATGAATTTCCCCCTCACCTCTGTCCCTAGATCTCTATAGCCATTATGTGCGAAGAGGCAGAGCTGTCAGATGTTTGCAGACTCAGCAGTTCTCTCCTTCTGAAACCACAGAGTGTCCATCCTCTCTCATAATGCAGTCAGGGTCATTCAGCCAATGGGGCTTCCAGCACTTGTCATCACCTCTGCCCTTGCTAGGGTCTCCCAGCTTCATCTTGCTGTCTGGGGCAGAAACTAGAAAACCTATCTGCTTACCTACCTCCCCATCACCTTTGATATTTAAAAACACTATTCTGGCCCTTCTTTCTTCAACAGGGGTAAGAAAAGGAGATTCTTCCCTGATAACTTTTTTATTTCTAGTATTTTCCTGCCCTGATGTGTTCTACCTAGGACTGATTGCTGTCTTTAAAATCATAAAATGCCAGGCACTTCGAGATAGTCAGTCCTTACCTCTTTGTTTTATAAGTGAAGAAACTGAGGCTGAAGACTTGGTGTGGGCAAGTGAGAATTATTTGTGCTCATCCTCACAGGTAGAAGTAGCGCTGGTCACTCAGTGGTGTCTGACTCTTTGTGACCCTATGGACTACAGCCTGCCAGGCTGCTCTGTCCATGGGATTCTCCAGGCAAGAACCCTGGAATGGGTTGCCATTCCCTTCTCCAGGGAATCTTCCTGACCCAGGGATTGAATCCAGATCTCATGCTTGTAGGCAGATTCTTTACTGTCTGAGCAACCAGGGAAGCCCAGATAGAAGCAGAACCTAAAACCTAAGTGTCTTCTTTCCTTTGTTCCAAATTGCCTTTGACTCTTTGTCCTTATAATATTTTTATATCTATTTATTTTGACTTATTACAATATTCCTGCTCCTTTTTTAAAAAACATTTTTTGTTTTTTTCTGTGTTCTTCTAAACTTTACTTGCAAATAGTATAACGAGCAAATGTTCAACAAGATATGCTATGAGATGCAGCAGTCCCCAGCTTACCCCTGTCCCATTCTTCTTCCTCAAGGTCAGCTCTTTAAGCTCTCTATGCATGGTTATTTTGATATCTCTCAATAACATGCTTAATTGCTTCCTAGTGTTGATTTGCTTCTGTCTATCCAATTCCCAATGTGGAAGGTGAGATTAGAGTCGTTTGTCATCCTAGTGTCCTGCATCACCCATGTAAACATTTTTTGCACATGATCTTTGGACTGTTAACATTAAAAAAAAAAAAAAGCTTATGTTTCCCCATTCTATTACCAACATTTGAAAAGCAGAAATTATAGAAGTCTAAATGTTTTCTTTAGTGTTGTAAAGCAGTCTTTCATGAAGCTGTAGGATGGATGTCATCCACAGCATTTTCTTCCTCTAACAGCATTTACTTCGTCTTGGCCACACGTCTTTTTCTAATTTAGAAGTGTTCCTCTATTGCCAGCCTTGTTCTCCCAGATGTCCGTGGCATGGCTCATTGTGTTCTCTGTATTCCTGGAGGATGCTACCTGGCATGGACAGTGTTGTGCCCTCCCTGGGGTCTCAAAGATGCAGAGAATTCATGTGCTTTGTTTCCCAACTTTTGGCCTCTCAACATGAGATGACTTCATAACATCTTACTTCATATAAACCTTGTAATTAAAAAAATATATATCACTGATCAGCTACGCATGCAGCAGGATTTTAAGGTAGATGTAGGCTTTAAAACACATAGCCTGGAGTTGCCTATGAGCAGTATTTGATCACGCTGCTCAGAAGGTGTACTGCTGCCCCACCCACCTCCCAGGGCAGGACTGGTAGTTACTGATGACCTATCCGTAAAACTGCAACCTTTTTTCTTTTTCCTGATTTCAGGTAGATGCACTGAGATTACGGCTAGAAGAGAAAGAATCTTTTCTCAATAAAAAAACGAAACAGCTGCAGGACCTCACAGAAGAGAAGGGGACACTGGCTGGAGAGATTCGAGACATGAAGGATATGTTAGAAGTGAAGGAGAGGAAAATCAATGTTCTTCAGAAAAAGGTGAGTACCTGATGTAAGCACTTCAGATTGAGAATTGGTATCATCCATGTTTTGTCATTTTGGAGAAACTTTTGAGTGTGTGGGAAAGAAGAAATTATTGTTCAAGAATTTTAGATTAGGGAGTGTAAACTTTAAACTTACTGATATTTAACTTACTGGTGATTGTAATCATGTCAGTTTTAGCACAGCTTGATGAATTTACTTATTTGATCACTTGGAAACTAAATAGTAATTTTTTTTCATTTACTAGCTTAAACATAGAGATAGTTGTACAAATTTAGATATAAATCTAAAATTTATTGTTAATTTTTCCTTTTCTTTACTGAGAATTGAGCAGTCAATGTGTTTTGTGGGTCTTAAAGGTATTTTAGGTGCATTTTGTGTTTACATAAACTTAAGTAGCTCTTACCTGTCAGACTCATACAGATCTTAGTGGGTGTGAAGTAATATTTACACCCATTACTTCACTGGAGACCGTGAGACAAGGTGTAATAAGTTGTAACACAGTGACTTAACACAGCAGATACTGCACCTGGCCAGGGCTCTTCTTTCTTTCATTTTCTCCAAAGTAGGGGATTCAAGTCTGGGGACAACACCCAGATTTTTCTTTTGAAGAATGCCTGTTTGCTACTGTGTACAGTTTTGGTGGGATCAAAGGGTGCCCTGCCTTCCCCAGAGAAAAGGGTAGGCAAGAAGAGAAACTAGTACCTGCTCTTTTAAGAGAAAGAAGCTGTTGGGAAACACATAGGGCTCTCAGAGTAACAGGCAGCAGCATGGAATCTGAGCAGAAACCAGTGTGGAGAAGCAGGAGCTGGCTGGCCAGGGCACCGCCATAGACAGGCGTGTCACCAGGCAGCTGCAGACAAATGGGACCTAACTGGCCCTTCTCCTGGTGACATTTGCTGCCATCACCTCTCACCTTATTTGTATTGACAGCAGCCTAGCTGTTTTTCCTGCTTCAACCCTTACTTTTCCTACTGGGTGTTCTTAACATTCAAACTGGAGTAATTCTTTTAAAACAGAAAACTGTTCATATCACACTCTGACCAAACCTCTCTAGTCACAACAAGCTACCTAATTTGTGGGGCCAAGTGCAAGATGAAAATATAAGACCTTTTATTCAGACTTTATGGAGAATTTCAGGATGATCATAGTGAAGCATAAAACTAAGCATGGGGCCCTTCTGAGTACGGGGGCCCTGTGTACGTACGCAAGTTGCATGCCTATGAAGCCATCTCTCCATCCTCAGTGGTTTCCATCCTCACAGGATATTCTCATTAGTTACCCATTTTATACATAGTAGTCTGTGTATATCAACCTCCATCACCTGGTTCATCCCAGCCCACCTCCCTCCTGTACCATATGTTTGTTCTCTACATCTGTGTCTTTGTTACTATTTTTCAAATAAGATCATCTGTACTTTTTTTTAGATTCCACATACCTGTGTTAAAATATGATATTTGTTTTTCTGACTGACTTCATTCTGTATTACAGTCTCCAGGTCCATCCTCACCTCTATAAATGATACAATTTTGTTCCTTTTTGGGCCGAGTAATATTCCATTGTGTATATGTACCACATCTACTTTATCCATTCATCTGTTGATGGACATTTAGATTGCTTCCGTGTCCTGGCTATTATAAATAGTGCTGCTGTGAACATTGGGATGCATGTCTCTTTTCAAAGTGTGATCTTCTCCAAATATATGTCCCAAAGTGAGATTGCTGGATCATATGTTAGCTCTATTTTTCATTTTTTAAGGAATCTCCATACTGTTTTACATAGTAGCTGTACAAATTTACATTCCCACCAGCAGTGCGAGAGGGTTCCCTTTTCTCCATACCTTCCCCAGCATTTATTATTTGTTGATTTTTAAAATTATGGCCAATCTGATAGTGTGAAGTGATACCCCATTTTAGTTTTGATTTGCATTTCTCTAATAATTAGTGTTGTTGAGTGTCTTTTTATGTGCCTCTTGGCCATCTGTGTGTCTTCTTTGGAGAAATGTCTATTTAAGTCTTCCATGCTTTTTTTCATTGAGTTGTCTTTTGTTTTGATCTTAAGCTTCATGAACTGTTTGTATATTTTGGAGATTGATCCTTTATCAGTTGCTTCATTTGTAAATATTTTCTTCCATTCTGAGGATTGTCTTTTCATCTTATTTATGGTTTCATTTGCTGTCCAAAAGCTTTTAAATTTAATTAAGTCCCATTTATTAATTTTTGTTTTTATTTTCATCACTCTCAAAAGTGGGTCAAAAAAAATCCTGCTGAGGTTTATGTCAAACAGTCTTCTGCCTATGTTTTTCTCTAAAAGTTTCATAGCGTGTGGCTTTACATTCAGGTCTATAATCCATTTCAAGTTTTATTTTTAATTTATGGTGTTAGGGAGTATTCCAATTTCATTCTCTTATATGTAGCTTTCCAGTTTTCCCAAGGCTTTTTTCTCCATTGTATATTCTTTCCTCCTTTGTCATAGGTTAGGTGACCATATATCTGTGGGTTTATCTCTAGGCTTTCTACATACTTTTTAAAAAAATACTCCTTTCCATTATGGTTTATCCTAGGAGACGATATAGTTCCCTGTGCTCTATAGTAGAACCTTGTTTTTTATCCATTCTAAGCTCCCTCATTCTTGAGGAATAAATGGCAGCACTTTACTCAGTAAAGATTTTGGGAAGGCACTTTCAGTGCAGAAGTGATAAACAGCTTCTTTTGCTGACATGAATATTTTGCAAAATTTTAAACTGCCTCCTCCTGCCCCCTCCACCAGATTTAAAAGTTTGGAAGCAGTTTGGAAGTTCTAGAACAAAGCCAATTATATATTATGGCTCCTTTTGACAATAGGATAGCAATCCCACTTATTTAAACTGTTCCAGTGATGGATTTGGAACTATTTCATGTATATTTGGAGAGGTTGTTTAGCTTCAAGTTTTCAACATAGTGATGGAGAAGGAGTACTATTATATCTGCAGTGTAAAAGAGAAATAATATCTAAAGAAGTGATGCACACAATTCAAAAACCACTTCAAAATTTGGAAATAATACAGGAGCTGATGAGCTAATGAAAGATTGTCTTTGGGACTGAAGACTTCTTAGAGTTTTGACCACGTTCAGCATAATTGGCTGTTTTAGGGCAGGCCCAGATTGGAACAGCATAAGCTTTGGATTAGGGTGTGTTGGCATGGAAGAATAATAAACTCGTGTCAATGTCAGAGGTTCAGTGTTACTTAATATTTCTTTCCCATAGACTCTCTGGCAACCAGCATGGTGTTTTGATGCCAGTAGAACTGGGTATGCTCCTTTCATAGCCATGTTTAACCTGGTGAAGCTAGGCTTGCACCTCATATCTGTCAGCTTTGCCTTCAAAGCCCTGAGTCTCAGAAGTCTTGTGTACCCCATAAGCTATGTGCGCAGGCCACATGTCAGCCGCAGGCACAGACATGATGCTCTAAGCCTTTTGTTGCTTGAGGAAGGAAGTGAAATTGAATAAGCAGAGAACCCCAGGTGGCCTAATATCTCTGATCAAACTTTTGTAGGAAAACAGGTCATCGATAATAGATTTGGTCCTACCATACATGTTTTTGGCTTTACTCAATAGTTCCAAGAAATAGAATTCTTTTAGTACAGGTCAGAAAGGTTTGTGTACGGAAATGGTTTGGTGTGTTATCCCCATGCAGCTATGATACTAAAGTCAGAGGAGCGGCACGATTTTCACGCAGCAGCCGTAGCGTTCTGTTCCCATACCTGAATTCAAGCTTCCACTGATGAAGTGCTACCTTTTTGTAGGAAATGTCATAAAACCTTGATGACATTGTACATTTGGAAAGTGTATAATGACTGGGATTTTAGGACATGGTAGCATTATTTGAACCAGATCAAATTCAGACTGCTGTGTAGCTCCTAGATTCTTGCAGCATAAATTTATTACCCAAGAAAAGTTCTTTTTTTTAAGCCATTAAATTGGACAAAAATTCTATCTCCATTTTCATTCTAGGTCTCAGTCTCACAAGCAACGTGAATTTTTAGAGCAGGGGTACTTTATTTATTAGGGGTAGAGAAACAGATGGTGATCCCTCTGGACACTGAATTCACTAGCTGCCTACTGGGCTTCATGGATTGCCCTGTGGGTTGGAAAGGGCCGGGAGAGAGAGGTTTATAGTTTGCTCCTGGGAGTGCTGAGTGTGGACCTGCCCACTTTAGCAGCTTTATTCTACCCATTTGGAAATATGATGGTGGAAAATTCTGTATGACAACAGAGGAAAGAAAGCTACAGGAGTATGGTTATTAGTGTAATGAGTTGCTTCATGAAATGTATATTAAAAAGTTAAACTCGAGAAGATTACTATGAAGCATAGAGATTTCCATGTGAGCGTAAAACTGATGTAAGGTATGGAAGACTTTTTGACTCATTTGAGCTCTTTTTCAATGTTAAACATTCAGTGTTAAAGAGATTGCAAATCTCTTAGTTTTTTAAACATGTGAAAAATCATATTCATTTTGCATTTACTAGGGTTCTCTATGTGTCAGTCAGTCACTACTCTAAGTCCTGGAGGTTTAAAGAGAAAAAAGACATTCTCCAGTCCTCAAGAAACTGACAGGCTGGTTGGGGAGGTAGACTTGTATAATGTGGTCTGTTAGTAGAAACAAAGCACTTGATGGATGCAAAGAGCAGAAACTAGTTCAGGCTACCTTAAGCAAAATGATATTTACTACAGGAATATCCAGAGCCGCAGTAAATTGCTGGTAGAACCAGATTAGGGATGATCGAGAATTAGGACAACTCTAGGAGACCAAGAGAAAGCAGACAGTGCCTTGACCATGTAATGCAGAGTTTCTGGTTAAGTGTCTTCTCTGCCACTGGCCACCCTCACACCTTCCCCTCTTTGCCCTCACATCATGCTGTTGGTCAAGATTCAAAGTCCTGGGCCAGAGTTCCAAAGTTCACATAAATGCCTCTCATTAGCAGCATCTAACCAGACCCTACCTAAAAGGAATCTG